GCTATGTATGAGTTGTGTGCCCAGGCAGCCAAGAAGGCCAACAGAATCCTGGCTTGTATCAGCAACAGTGTGGCCAGCAGGACTAGAGAAGTGATTGTCCCCTGTACTTGACACTGCTGAGGCAGTGCCTTGAACACTGTGTTCAGTTCTGAGCCCTCGTCTACAAGAGAGACACTGAGGTGCAACAAAGAAGAAGAACAAGGAGTCTGGCTCAGGGGACACCCTACTGTTCTCTACAACTACCTGAAAGGAGATTGTAGCAAGGTGGGTGTCAGTCTCTTCTCCCAAATGACAAGTAATGGGACAAGAGGAAACGGCCTCAATTTGCACCAGGAGAGGTTTAGACTGGGTATTAGGAGAAACTTCTTTAACGAAAGGGCTGTTAAGCGTTGAAACGAGTTTCCCAGGGAAGTGGTTGAGTCACCATCCCTGAAGGTATTTCAGTTTTGAAATCAGTAAAATAGATGAGAAGCTGATTGTAATATTAAGGATAAATATTTTATGTGTGTAAGTCCTTCTGCCATGAGAAGCATCCCGTTGAGGTGGCTGAATGTGGCCATTCATACTAATATATCTAACAAGTGTACTTACTGAAATTATCAATAGTTATAAATGCCTTTGATGTACAAAATACATATTTTTAGTGGTATGCTACTTTGGAATGCATGTGTATAATGTATTTTATTCTTTAATCAGAAGACTTGCTTCACCAAAACTTTATATATAGATTTGTTGAAAGTAGTGAGAAACTTACTATATTTTTTCTTTTGAATTTTGATAAAAGAGCTATTTTTCTTAACTGTAATACTATTTTACTATCAGAGACTGCAATAGAAGTATTTTTTATAAAATACTTAAAGTCTGAAAGCTGACAGTAATTATATATCTCGCTTGTTCATTGCACACATGTACTTATTTTCGCTGAAATGGAAAATTTAAATTTAGATTATGACTGTCCAAATTACCTTTATCAGCAAAATAGCCTCTGCTCACCATTACTTACAAAGTAGGAAGAATTAGCTTTTTTACTCAGTGCATCTTCTATGCCAGTCTTGCATCAAGTATTTATAATGCACAGAATTCAGCTGTCTATTTTTCAACTTGTTTAGACTAGAAAGCAACTTTCAAGAAATTCATTATGCCTATTAACAACTGCAGTTGAAATATCACAGCTGGCACAATTTATTGTTCTTCATTACTTACTTTCAATGGCTGCAAGCAATGAAATGAAATTTGGTTTTGCTGTGTGAAGAACAAAAATGTTTGCGAGTTAGTAACTTCAGTTAGAATTAAAACTGACTTTTTTGCATCCTGATGTAGTGAATTATCTAATTTTATATTAGTCTGCAATATAGGTATCTAAATGTGACAAAAAAAGAAATCTAACATAGCATCTCAGGTCAGTATATTTAACTTGCAGCTGAATTCACCCAGCGCAAAGGCAGGCACGTGGTAGTAATTCTGTATTTGTCCTGAATATCTCACCTAATAATGGTGCTCTCGGTGAAGAACCGGCTGAAGGGGAAAGCTCAAAGGGTTGTAGTGAATGGAGCTACATCTGGCTGGTGACTGATCACTAGTGATGTCTTTCAAGGTTCAATCCTAGCGCCAGTCGTGTTCAATATTATGTCACTGGTCAGGATGCAGGACTTGAATGCACCATTAGCAAGTTTGCTGGTGGTACAAGAATGGGAGGTGCTGCTGACTCTCCTGTGAGACAGGAGGCCTTGCAGGGGGATCTAGATAGATTGGAACGTTAGGCAATCATCAATGGTTTATTTAACATTTGAAAATTTAACAAGAACAAATGCCAGATTCTGCACCTGGGATGGAGTAAGGCTGGGCACAAGTGAAAAATGGGAGAGGAGTGGCTGGAGAGCAGCCCTGCAGAAAGAGATCTGGGGTTGTTGGTCAACAGCAGGCTCAATACAAGCCAGCAGTGTGCCCTGGCAGCCAGGAGGGCATCAAACATCCTGGGGTGCGTTAAATGCAGCGTAACCAGCTGGTCAAAAGAGGTGATTATGCTGCTGTATTTAATATTGGCGCAGCCTCTCTTTGAGTACCTTGTGCAGGTCTGGGCCCCACCATTTAAGAAGGATGTGAAGGTCTCTGAAAGCATCCAGAGGAGGGAAGTGAAACTGGTGAAAGGCCTGGAAAGCATGTCCTGTTAGGAGGGGCTGAGGACTCTAAATTGGTCTGGTTTGGAGAAAAGGAGGCTGAGAGGTGACCTCATTGCTCTCTGCAGCTACCTGAGGTGGAGAAATGGAAAGGGAGATGCTGAGCTGTTCTCTGTGGTGACCAGTAATAAGATGCATGGGAATGGTTCAAAGCTGTGCCAGGGAGGTTCAGACGGGACATTAGGAATCATTTCTTTACGAAGAGGGTGGTCAAACCCTGGAACAGGCTTCCTAGAGAGCTGGTCAGTGCCACATGCATGTCAGTATTTCAGAGGCATTTGGACAATGCCATTAACATTAGCTTTAGCTTTTGGTGGAGTGGTTATGCAGTTGTGCTATATGATCATGGTAGGACCTTTCCAACTGGAACTGTTCTGTTCTATTCTAACTGCTTAGAAGTTAGAGACATGTGAGGCCTCTGTTTGGAAAATGAAAATACAGAGGCTTCCAAAGCTTACACTGTCTTCAAACTGTGGACTTCCACATATAAACTGCCCTGTTTCATTTTTAAGCCTATTTCTCTAAGGTTGCAAACCTTAGAGCATGATTGCCACATCTGTCTTCTCTTTACAATAATTTTTCAAGGTGAGGACTTGCTTTATCAGCATTATACAGAGTGAGAAAAGTCTCCACTGTGCAGAATTCCATGACTCTTACAAAGCTTATTTGCTGATTAGTAAGAAAAAAAGAAAAGTGACCCAGATTAGCAATGCTGCTGAGGAAGGGCTCAGAACTAGTCTTGATATTGACTGTTGTCTCTTTCCTAGCTGGGGCAGCTGATGAGTTTTGCAGAAAGTGAAAGAAGGGTATGAAGGTGATGGGAGGATATTAGGTTTGTGGAGCAAGGAAGAAGATTAGTTGCAGATTGTTAAGACTGGAAGGCTGAGGCTATTATGGGTAGTGGAAAATCCATCTCAAAGTCCTCATGTAATTTTAGAAATATTGACAATGTGTATGTACAATATACAGTGGTAATGCTGTAGTGCTTCTCTTGTACACATAATGACAGAGAAGGAGAGGGATTATCCAGGAATTGATGAGATCACTTAAAATAGCATAAAATCATTGCCTCTCCACCCTCATTCTCTGCCTTTTCACTTCCCATGGTATCAGTTCAGCCTATTGTATAGCAGAACTATCTAATTAGCTGGTTCAGACATAGAAATGAATCATTTAAAGATTCACACATCTTTATATATAGCTACAACTTTAAAGAGTTCCCAAGAGAAGTAACAGATAGTTTTCAGATATGCACACAGTTTTATATAGTTGTCTATATTGATATTACAGAAGGCTATAGCTTTAGGAACATAAATACCAGGTCTTCTGAAGAGTGCTTTAGCCACAGATAGCTAGAGGCTGAGAAATGCCATGGAGAAATACCAGTGCTTTATACTTTTCCATGAGTATTTGTTTGCATATACCACTGGAGATGGAATGTTGTGATAGGTGGACTTCCAGTATAAAGTGTTGTGACTGGTCTTACTTTTTAAAAAGCTCACTGTTCATTGTTTTTAAAATCTAAAACTTTCTACTTCTTGCTTCCTTATTGAAACAACTGTATCATATTGGCTGATGCTTTCATATGATCACAAGATACATCTTGAGGAAAAAAATTATTTTAGTAACTTCAGTCTATGTTATAATTTATATTAATTTAACTTCTATGACCTTAATCTTAAGGTAATGTTTCATCTAACAGTGCAACCATGCTCTTGGGATTATTTTTTTTTTATTCATTTAGTATTTTAGTGACTTTTTAGATCTTTCTGAGAAATGTGAAATTTGCAGGATCAGCATGTACACATTGTTTTAGCTGATAAGACACCTCTGTGAATATGGATGAAACATAGCTTGGGTAGCAAAATCTCCCAAGATTGTATCTGTATAAAGAAAGACAGTAGGAATGTCTTTCTAAGGCTTTAACAAAGACTTCTTGTCATAAATTTATCTAAAATAAGACACTAGCATTTCTGCAGTATTTGTCATTTACACCGTGCTAACCTCATACTCATGCTTGTTAGCTAAAACCTGTTAACAGAATGTCTGTGATCTTTTTTGGAGGAAATTCTGCTAAATACATAAGCACCGTGAGCATATTAGTTCTGTTAGCTCTAGCAATAACCCATGCAAGTGATTATCACAGCCGTCAAATAGTAAATGTGCTACAATAAATACAGTGTGTAGTACTGCTTTAGAAACCATTGATTTGTACTGGTTTTTTACTTCTATTTATTTGTTAGACTAAGAAATTATGTAAGTTGCAGATTACTCAAATTTCCTCACTGTGTTTCCTATACATTATTCTCAGCTTTTTTTTTTTTTGTCTTAAATGAATGCAACTTTTACATGTACTTCCCTTGTATTTCTTTTGCTTGTTACTTAATATTGTCTTCTTTTTATTACCAGCACTTTATTTTAGGAAGCTATTATGTTATTTGCAAACCTTGTTTCTTTTAGTCTTGCCCCAAATAATTTGTAGCCTAAGAAATTAAGTGAGGATATGTGTACCAAATAATTTCACTTCTTAACTTTGTGTATTTTTTTGTGGTACATTTTATAGCTCTCACTTTAATCTTTTCTTAAGATAGCACCACTGAGAGCAGTTGTTTAAGCTATCAAGAGACAGAAAAATAAATCCAATGTAATGTTTAATTGCTTGCTTATATTTTGGGGATTTTCATGCAGTTGTAAGAGTTTGCATGCATCAGCACATTTGATTTGCTTGAGAATGGAAGAGTATTTTATTTTTTCAGACAGTGCATTTGATACTTATGGACTACAGAAAAGTTGCAGTAAGGTATCTGTTTATTCTTTCTTCAGAACAAGTTCATAGGCACTTGGATCAGCATGAGGTGAAATACTTGCAATTTGCTTTCCGTTGGATGAATAACTTGCTGATGAGGGAAGTCCCTTTACGGTGTACCATCAGGTTATGGGACACGTACCAAGTAAGTACTTTTCTAAACCTCCATAACTCTGACAACGTGTTTTGGACATGTCAGTATGCTTATGTTATTTCTTTAACCTTTTGTTTTGGTGTCATCTAAGAATCATCATAAAAATAGAAAAAGCCTTCAGTGATCATTAATAATTAGAAATATTTAATGTCTTCCGTCTTTTTGTCCTTCAAAACCAAGCACTTGATGTTGTGATAGTTTAAAGTACTAAAATGAACACTCACTCAAAGCATGGGTTAATGTCGATATTCTCTTTTGTCTCTTCAGAGAAGTAAAACATTGAAGTGTGCTTAATCAATGCCCTCCATTGATTCTGAGTTCCAGGCTTCTTACTGCCTGTCTGCTTAACTACTCAATCCAATACTAGCTTCCAGTCTCCAGTTCTCAACGTTCATCCTCCCATCATGTCTTCTGTCTTATTGTCCGTCCAGACAAAACTTGTTATGTTACTAACCTCTAGTTGAGGTAATTATTTTTCCTCGATAATTTCTTGTCTGACTGTCAAGTTAAGGAATTGATATCAGAAAAAACTTTACCCATTCTTATTTCTGTTACTCGACAGTCCAGTAGCTTCTGGGTGGAAGTTTTGGCTATGTATTTAAACAATATATCCTCTACTACCTTTAATGTTGAAGTTTATGAAAAATAAATAAATGAAGAAAAGTAAAAATATTTTAAATTCCATAAAAATTTTCAACTGAATTAGTTTAGTAAATAGGAAAACAACAATTTATGTCCTGTAAAGAGATGTAACATCTTTAAATATCAGCGTCTTCACATCTACTCGTTAAGTAGCAAATTTTAGTTAGTTACATACACTTTAATGCCAGATTGTTCACTTAGACCATCTATACAGACCTCTCATAGAGGGTTAAGAATTTGCTTGCTATTCATTTGATGAGTCTACTAGGCTGTTTTGGTGAAGTGTGTTTTGTAGAATGGTATCCAAATCTGATAAGGAAATGTTAAGAATGATCTACGCCTTCTACTGTTAGTGTGTCCTAGGAGGTGGTATCCTTGCATGTTTTATTTGGCTGTTCATCTTCAACAAATTTCTGAACTGAATTTTAATATTGCTTTCAGCTGGGATCCTTTTACCTCCTTTGTCTCATTATAACATCTGTTATTCATTTTAATATCTATTATTACCTTGCATTTTCTGCCAGTGGAAAATATTTATTCTTTATGTGATCTTTCTGATAAACTGAAAGATTGAGCTATTTAAAATGTTTTACTGTAGTTAATTTCTTTAATTTTGAATAATTTTTGTTGCTATTGGTGCAGCATTTCTAACTCCTGAAGGTTTTTTTACCGTGCTAGCTCTATCACTGCATTTGGTACTTGATCATTAGTCTCATCAATGTGCTAAAATCATGTAAAAGCAGTTCCCTGATGCAGTTACCAACCTGCATGTGCCCAAGAAATAGCTGGTTTTGCCAAGACTTCATGTGGAATTCATCTGTGACCTATGATTCTATGTAATGTTAAAAAACTTCTTTTGAAGACCAGGCATGTGGTTACTTTCTCAAGCTAACTGTTGCCATGCTGAAAGGAACCTCTCAAGTTCAATGGGATCTTTTTAGCCATAATAAGTGGTTCTGAATATTCTGATTTTTAGCAAGTTTTGCTATATTACAGTAGTTCTCTGTAGTATTTAGAAGCTTAAAACTTACATGTTCACATGGGATTTCCAAGTGTATCTTTTCAATGAAGGTTTCTAACACCTAAATGGGATTCTCATAGCTAGGATGGGATTATTTTTGTATATTAAACGTGCTTAAGGTATATTTCTGTGTTTTGACTCAGCAGGTGCAGCAGTTCTGTACTGTTTTCTTGGTTTAGTTATTCAGCAGACTCAAGAGTTCTTAAACTACTGTTAACAGAAATATCTTTAACTGCAGTGTAAGTTCATAGAGAAGGTGAACTGATCATGTTGCAGTGTAATACTAGCCACAGCAGGGACTACAGGTATCCCTACACTACTAATTTGAGGGGTTTTGCCCAGATTCTACCTATCTTACGGCTCTTGGGAAGGGATGGGGCATTTTGTAAGTCACTGATACGGACAGCTCTAGGCCCAGTATGCAACATGATTTGGCAATGCCAGAGGAGGGTAGGTAGGACAGTCAGATTTCTTTATGTGTAAGGAATTGGAAGACAGGCAGGACTGTTGGATTCCTTCATGTCTGCACTGATGGTGTGTTCTGGCTCCCCCATTTCCTGCAGAAATCCAGGGTGATGGTGGATGGCTTCCCTCCCCTCCCAAGGATTAGAGAACAGTGGCCTCTCTTGAAAGAGAAGATCCTACTGATGATGTTTTCACAGAAAAATGTGTTTTGTCTCCTTTGTCTTCCTCTCTCCCCATCAAAGCTGAAATAATGCCTGGTCTTGCTGAGCTGCATGTTTTCCTGTTTGCAGTGGAAAGATAAATACTGTGCTGTCTCCAGCTTAAATTCCCGATTGGTCATTCTCAGAGTAGGCCCCATTTTCTCATGAACTGCAACAGGGCGTTTTCAAGGGAATAACAGCACACTTAAATAGTCTGCTGTTATGTATTCCCGAGTGTGATAGATAACTGGTTTTGTCTGGAGTTGTTAGAACTGCATTCTGTCTCTCAAAATTTGTTGCAGTTCTTCCATTGCCTTCAGTGAGAATGAGATTGGACACTTAAATGACATCCACCGCTGTATCTGTATGTAGGATAGCAAAGGTACTCTGGCTGGTGTCCTCTTTTCTGTCTAGTTTAATTTAGGATTCATCAGTCATTTGTTAGGCTCTGTGAAGTACATCATTGGACATATAATCCAAAATACCTGTACTTGAACTAGTTAGAGTTGAAGGGATGAGAAACTTGGAAAGGTTCCCAAATCCTTACTTCAGTAAATACTCTGGTATTCTGTAACCGTATCTATGAAATCCACTAAAATATATCAGTGTCTTCTGTGGCAGCACTTCATAAAGCAGAAAAATTGCGGACATTATGCATCGTGCTTACAAAGGATATGTTGTGAGAGCTTCTTAAGCATAAATACTTAGTTTGGTTTATTCTTTAACTTGAATTGCATTTTAATGAGATCAGATTACCCCACTTTGCTATCATTAGTTTTTGTTCTTTTTTAAAAAAACAAGGTAAATGCTGTAAATACCTTGTAAATTCTTTCAAAATAGAAACTGCTGTTAAGTCACACCCAAGACACTCAAATTTTAAATCTGTAGAACTGATTAATATGGATGTTCATGGACTTTGCAAAGTGTGAAAGATTCCACAAACCAAAGATAGTGTAACATAAGACCTCAGGTTTATCTTTTTATTTTCTCTTGCCTTTTTCTCTTGTATTTTGTCATGTTTTTTGGCATAAAGAATTGGTAAAATGAGGTAGCATGAATGCAAAACTGTATTTGATTTCTGGGCAGTTTGGAGTTGGAAGGAAATCTTCAACAATGGCATGAAATCATAACATGGTGTTATACTGACTGCTATTTTAAATAGAAGGAGAATTTTCATTGGCACATAAGTACTTAATTTTATTTACTTTTCATGTAGAACAGAGTGCATGTATTTTCCACTACAGTGTTTTACTGCTGATCTGATGTTCTTACATAAATTACTTTTTTGTGCTGTCTTTTGTGCAGTGATCTCTGTGTAAGTAACTCTGTAGTAGTATATAATTTGCAGAAGAGACACTGACACAAGCTCCTTAGCTAAGAACTTGCTCAGGGAAAAAAAGAAAAAAGAAAATGAAAAGTGAAAAAAATTACAGCACCTATGTTTATTAGTTTTCAGTTTTAAGTACATGGTAGCAAGTGCTGCGTGAATGTTTAGGCTTCAGGTGCACAGCCTAATATTTTCTCCTGCCAGGAAGCCTTTTTGTTTAAGTACCACTTAGCTGAGTGCTGTATTGCCAGCTCACCATAGGCTAGTACCACTGAAATGAGTCACACACTCAGACTTCTTGGATACACTGCAAAACAGGCAGGTGAGATGGGTACTGTTTGCAGTGCCCTGGTGCTCCTGCTTTACTGCTTTACCCTATTCTTGAGTGAAGAGAACTTCAGTATTACCAAGATATCTTAAGGCTTACCATGAAAAATAAATGCAAATTAAACCATATAATCCTACCATGTAAAATGCAAAACAGTTACGAAGATTTACAAAAGGTATAGGAAAAACTAAATAAAAACTCTGTTAGAATTTGACAGTACTGTTGAGTTGATTTACTCTCACTGCTGAAATAGGTTTTTCTACTTGTTCCTGTTATCCCCTGCTTCTTAGCACTATCTGTTAGTTTTCTTCAGATTAGCCCACTGAGGGGGCTGATGGGTACCACAGCCAGTGCAAGGGAGAGAGGATGGGATAGCAGAGCTGTGAATTGAACCCTAGTGTTAAATCAGAATGATGACAACTTATTTGCCATCTTTTTCAAAGAAGAATTTGTTTCTTGGTAGATAGGACATTTCTCAGGTTGCATCCTTTAGGCAAACTTCAATAGAGAGAACCCACTGCTGGTGGAACCTCTTTTCCTGAAGTCCTGCAAATGGGTCCAGAAAAATACATTTTTTTTCCTCCTTGAAATTTAATCTTTCTTTTTCATCCAGAGACCAGTGCTTCCTTTGCTTGAAATAAACGTTATTTTATTTTCCTGAAAATGTGTGTCTTCATTAGACGGAGTATTATCACATGTACTTGACCAGCCATTTATATCCTTTCCTTCTTCAAGAAGGGATGACGTTTCTTTTCCCTTTCTTTGACTTAGTGTTCATTTTTATTGTAAGGTAGCTCACGTTGGAACTCATGTACTCTATTGATCAATGTTGTAACAGACATCTTTGTTTCCCACTTATTGGTTGGTATCATTTATGTAGTTCATTACTAGTTTTTGATCAAGGGGATGTTGTTTAAAAGTAAACATCTAATATTTTATTTAATAAGATTAGTACGATTTTTCAGAAGTGCTGGGGACACAGAAAACTTATTAAAGCTCATGAAGAAC